ATGAGAAACTAAAAAGCTTCTACACAACAAAAGAAATCGTCACCAGATCGAAGAGGGAACCCAAAGAATGGGAGAAATCTTTGCCAGTTATGCATCTGACAAGGGATTAATAACCAGAACATACAGGGAGCTCAAAAAACTAACCTTCCAAAAAAAATCAATGACCCAATGAAGAAATAGACAAATGAACTGAAAAGAACTTTTTCAAAGGAAGAAGTCCAAATGGCCAAAAAACACATTAAGAAATGTTCAACACCCCTGGCCATAAAGGAAATGCAAATCAAAACCACGTTAAGATTCATCTTACTCCTGTTAGTATAGTTATCATCAAGAATACAAACAACAACAAAAGTTGGCGAGGATGTGGGGAAAAAGGAATCTTCATACACTATTGGTAGGTATGTAAATTAGTATAACCACTATGGAAAACAATATGGAGCTCCTCAAAAAACTAAAAATAGGGGAGCATGAGGGAGGCTACAAGTTCCATTTCAAAGCATCAGTGAGCCCACCGAGTAGACACCATGAGTAAAGTACACCCTCTCAAGCTAAAAAAAAAAATTTATGGACAAGAAGCTGTCACTGAAATTAAATGGTGGCAGACATGTCCAAGGAATGCTGTAGTGATTTGATCTCTTTATGAATGTGTGATAGATGATGTGTGGAGATGGCAACTAGTGGGCAACAGAACAATATTGGAATGGTGGTAATACGAGGAAATAGCATCATCATGTTAGAAGCTTTGGAATGAGTTAAATGATGATAGTTCAGCAGAGAAATCCATGTCCCCTCTCCAAAGGGCCTATTTTACTATGAAGTAAAAATTGGGTCGTGTACACTTTCACATTAACCTTTTTGTTAAATAAACTTTTGTAACAGTCAAAAAAAAAACCCTAAAAATAGATCTAGCAATACCACTCCTAGGGATACACTAGAAGGAATATAAGTCAGGCTACAATAAAGACACTTGCACATCCAAGTTTCCTGCAGCATTATTCACAATAGCCAAGCTATGGAAACAGCCAAGATGCCCCACTACTGATGAATGGATTAAGAAATGTGGTATTTCTATACAATGGAACTTTATTCAGCTATAAAGAAAAATAAAATTTTGTCATTTGCAGGTAAATGGATGGAACTGGAGAACATCATCTTAAGTGAAGTTAGGCCAGGTTCAGAAAGCCAAAGGCAGCGTTTTCTCTCATATGTGAAACATAGGCCCAATACAAATACAAGCAATATTACAAAAAACAGGTCACACTAAGGGGAGTCACTAATGGGAGGGGGAAGGTAAAAGAAGGAAGTGAAGATGAGTAAGGATGATGTACTTTCTATACAAGAATGAACATAGAATTTTTAAACCTGCTGAAATCACCGTGAGGGAATGAACCAATTCAGGTTATAATACATATATACATGAAAATGTCACAATGGAACTCCCTGTGTAGCTTTCTTAAAACAACAACAAAAAAAGTCTTTTTTTCAAAAATGGAGAACAGGAAGGTAAAACAGGTCTTCTCTGGGGTTGGTATCAGTGGGACAGGGGAGGATATAAGGAAAGGATAAAGAAAGGTGAATATGGAGGAAATATTACATACTCACGTATAAAAATGGAAAAATGAGACCTGTTGAAACTATTCCAGGAATGGGGAAGGGGGATAAAGGAGAATGATGGAAGGAGTAAATTCAATTATGATATATTGTAAGAATTTTTGTAAATGTCTCAATGTACCCCCAGTACAACAATATGATAATTACAAAAAAAGAAAAAAAAAAAAAAAAACCTGGGCTTAGATGATCCTCCCAAGTACCTAGAATTACAGATACACCCCACTGCCTTCATTAGCTTTTGGGGAAGGAGGGCGCAGGGAGGGGAAGAGGAAGGAGAGAGAGACACAGACAGAGACAGAGAATTGTGTATTATCCTTCTTTTTATAAACTCCAGGTTTAAATATCTTTGCCAACATTTCAACTTATTTGACTAACATTTATTAATAAATATTGTATATTTGCTAGACACTAGCAATATACAAATAAAACATGTCCCCTGAAAATTCCTGTTGAAATCCTAAATCCCCAACATGAGGTAGCAATAGGTGGGACCTTTGGGTAATTATCAGGTTTTGAGGGTAATCCCATTCTCTGGCTCTTACAAAAGGGTTCCCAGAGAGCTCTCTCTCCCTTTCCTACCATATGAAGATACAGCAAGAACATGGCTATCTATGAACCAAGAAGTAGGTCTTTACTAGGCTCTGGTACCCTGATCTTGAACTCCCCAGCCTCCAGAACTACAGAAACAAATGTTTGTTGTATAAATTGCCCAATCTATTTTTGTTACAGCAGCTCAAACAGACTAAGACTGAAAATATATATCCTTGATGCAAAATATTAAGTGAACAATGAGGAAACATACATGCAAGTATACTATAATATGATTGGTGCTATCTACACATATAGACAAAACTATACAAGGTAAACCATAGTAGGATTGATATTTGAGCTAAGTCTTAAAGATGAGTAGGAGAAGCAGAGAGGGGAATAAGTACTCTAAATATTTTTTTTCTGAAAGCAGCATTTCCACTTGCCCTCAAATAGTTTTAAGTATGACTATGTTTCCTTTCCAATAATGCTATGTTGCTAATGAAAGCCTTGAATTGTGCGCATGCATGCACACACACGCATACACACACAATGTGTATGTTAAGACTAGATATCGTTACAGCTTCTTGATTTTTGAAAATCAGCCTTAAATTCTTTTAGGGTTTTTCCCTCTACTTTATCAAGTTCACCTTATTTCTGATTGTTCTCTGCCAGAATAATACTACGGCTTTCCACAATCCTTAGCTATGCAGCATTCATTAATTCCACGCTGGAATTGTCATAGGTCGAAGTATTCAAAAGCAGCAGCAAAATTTAACATTTACAGCTCATCATAACGTTGGTATGGTTTCCATGGTGCATGCTCTTTGAGATTATTAGAACTTCTCCAACAGTGATACATGGCTAGGCTCTGGGATACTTATTAAAATAAAGTCTTTTGCTGGGTACCAGTGACTCACGTTTGTAATCCTAGTTACTCAGGAGGCAGAGATCAGGAGGATCACAATTCAAAGCCAGCCCTGGGCAAACAGTTCTCAAGACCCTATCTCAAAAAAAGCCATCACAAAAAAGGGCTGGCGGAGTGGCTCCAGCAAGTAAGAGCACCTGCCTAGCAAACATGAGGCCAAGTTTAAACCCCGGTGCCACCAAAAAAAAAAAAAAAAAAAACGGAATAAACTCTTTAAACTGAAAGAAAGTCAGGATGCGCCTGTAATATGACATTTGACAGAAAATTTTTCAAACAGTACATACTGGTAATTTGAAGAATGTGATGCGTACACAACTGAGATTAATCATACGAATGGCAGTATATACTGCTAGGAGGATAAACTGGTCCAACCACTCCTAGAGGGGTTATTTAAGTTTTAAAAATACACACAGCCTTTGAGCAAATTCCTTTCTAGGAATTTATTGCAAAGTAAAAAACTTAATATACATGCGTATATGATCAAGGATATTCAGTGCAGCATAGTTTTATAATACTAAAATAGGTTAACAGTGATTTACATTTTCAACAGTAAGAGATGTTCAAATACATGACAGGGGATATCATAAGGTCATTTAAAATCATCAAAATCTGGGGGTATGGGGCTGGGGGAGATACGGTTCAAGTGGTAAAGCGCTTGTCTAGCAAGCATCATGCCCTGAATTCAGACCCCAGTACTGTTCCCCTCCAAAAAAAAAATCTGTAAGTACTGACAAAGAAAGGTAGCCAAGGCAAATTATGAAGTAAGAAAAGTAGGTGACAGGGCTGGGGATGTAGCTCAGTGGTAGAGCACTTGCCAAGCATGTATAAGTACCTGGGTTCAATTCCCAGCTACAGAGAGAGAGAAAATAGTTGTACTATCTTAACACTAGTCACTAGCTACCAAAATACACTTAAATTTAAATTAAATGAAATTTAATTAAAAATTAATTTAAAAAAGAAATAATACAAGAATATGTAAATAAAAATGACGAGGTAATAGCATGTTTTAAGTTTTGCCATCTATTTTCTAAGTTTACTACAATGGATTTCCTGTGTAATAAAATCATGTTAAAAAAAAAACTATGAAGTTCTTCAAAAATAAAAATGCCCCAGCTGTAACTAAATATTTCAGACTGTTTTACAAAAGGAGAAATTATGGAACAAACTACAAACTTAGAGGTATTTTTTTCCAATTACTATTTTGCTGCTTTGGGAATATATCAGTTTTTTTAAGTCTTCTTCACAATCATTTAAAAAAAGGATTACTCAGATTTGTACTTATAGTTTGAGGATTATCCCCCATACAAATATTACCTTAAAGTCTGACCATAATTACAAAATAAGATGAATTCTTCCTTTCTTACAATGAGCCATTATCTAGAAAAGTCCCAGGGGTCAGCTCAAGTCAGAGCTTCCTCTAAAATATAAGCTTTCCTAGCTGCACCTGCATGGTAGCCAACAATTTCTATCATCTATCTTTTATAGTAAGGCAACAGTTTCCAAGGGAACCACAGGGCAAACATCCTGTGCTTCCAAGGACTTCATAAACACACATAAACTGAAGTAATGGCTTGCTTTCTCTTACTAATGTTTTAAAATTACACAGTAGTAAGCTACTCTGATTCTTTTGTGTTGTCTCTACAAACAAGAGACAAGCAACAAACCAAGAAAATTCTGTGCCCCTCTACCAACAAATGAGTCCCTAGAAATCAGAGGAAGAGGGGGACAGTTATCAAGCAACATATAAGCCAGATGATGTTATCTCATACAAGGGAGCAAATCAGAATAAAATCCATGAAGAACTGAAATACAAAAGACAGAACTCCCATCCAGTAGCACAGTAGAATATATAAATTTATCTAGGCCAAGATTCTGATTAACAATGGAAAAGATGATCAATAAATGCTAGGAGTTGAAAAAAGCAGTCACTCACCTCTCTCAACATATTGTTCTCTTTTTCCTTCTGCTCCAAAAGGCTTTCTAGGTGGTGGACATGCATCTCAGCCTCTGCCAGCCGTCTTGTTCTCTCATGGTCCTCCTCGGTAGCCTTGGCAGAAAGCCCTTTGCTCTGCAACATCTCCAGAAGCTTCTTAATTGACTCATCCCGAGCATTCAGGGTTTGCTTCTGAGTCTCAATACGCAACTCCATTTCCTCCAGGGTCTTCCGTAGAAGGAATAGCTCTTTGGCCTGCCGCTCATGCTCAGCATGCAGCCTTTGGAAGTTCTCTTCCGTCAGCTCTGCCACACAAGGTTCCCCGGTCCTGCTGCTACTATCTTGCTGAAACAGCTGATTCAGGTCCCTCTGGATTCGCAATTCATCCTGAAGAGCCTGGATTGTCATCTGCATGTGCTAGAACCAACACACAAAACACACATTAGTGCTCCCTTCCAGTGGCAAAGACAGAGCATCTGAGAAGAACTTTTTCTGCTTAACGTTTTTTTAAGAAATGATTGAGATGCACTGCACAATACCAGAATTTAACTTGTGTTTATTCCCAACAGGAAACAAGATTAGTATGGCAGTCCCCCACCTTGCATAAGCCATAATAAAATTTAAGAGATGGTTCAAAAAATTAACAGAAGGTAAGGTATCATTTTTAATTTTTGTGTTTTCATTTTAACAGAAGGTACCTTGTGTGAAGGGGGAAGACACAAGACATCTACAGGGATATGAACAAAATCCATTTTTAAAAATTCACCACACAAAACGACATAATTATTGCAAACATTTTGCCAAGTGCTTATTATATAAGATTTATATATAATTTATATATAATTATATATAAATTTATAATTTAGAATTATAAGAATTGTGCAATTAATTCATTTAATCTTCACTATGAATATCTACTTTTTTTTATATTGTGGCAAAACACTATCTGAGTGTGGTGATACATGCCTATAATCCTTGCAATTAAAGGACTAAGGCAGGAGAATCAAGTTTTGAAACTCTGTCTCAAAAATAACAACAAAATCACTTACCACAAACTCTTATCTTCCTACATACTTTCAGTGCATAACATGTTACTGTTGACTGCAGGTACAACAGCTTATTTATACTGCTTAACTGAAAGTTCATGCACATTGATCAGGAATTCTCCCTCTTCCCTTCCTCCCAGCCCTTGGCAGTCACAATTACACCTTCTGATTCTGTGAGTTTGAATATTTTAGATACTTAACACATGTACTATTAATTTCAATTTTAGGGACAAGGACACTGGGCTCAGAGCACATGAAGTAACTTGCCCAAGATCACAAGATGATAGAGCTGACATTGAAATTAAAGCGATCCTCATAGCCCATTGACATTAGGACTACCAAGAGGTGAGAATGTAACATGAGGCCTAAAAAAGATGTAACAGTGCTATACAGGTGAAGACTGCAGTACCAGCGAGTAATTAAACAAAGATGCTGATCTGGTTCAACTACCTAAATGTCGGAGAGGCAATTCACTGTATCTCTAATGAAGGTATGTGCACCTTTAGTCCAAGTAAAGTAAGGAAATTCTACCATACTACACAAAGAATTCCAAAGGGCTGTTACATTAAGAATATTATTTTTAGGAATGCAAATGGAACAATAAAAGATCATTTCTTCCAAGCAAGAGACTGATCTTAAGAAGACCATGGTCCAGGCTGACCTGGGCAAAAAAATGAGATCCTATCTCCAAAATAACCAGAGCAAAAAAGGATGGAAGCATGGCTCAAGTGGTAGAGCACCTGCCTAGCAGGGCAAATCCCTAAGTTCAAAACCCAGTACCACAAAAAAAACACCTTCACTCCTTAATATTTGAGGCCTTGGCAGTGTGTGATAGTGGAAAGAACCCTACAACAATCCAAAGACATGAGTTTACATTCTAGCACTCACACCAACTAGCTCTGAAATTAAGGCAAGTCATATTTCTGGATTTCTGTTTCTTCCTATTTAAAAACACATTATAAATACCTGTACCTCCTTTTCGCAGAGTTGATAATCAGGAAATCTTTGTGGTTTATGTTTAAAAACATATACTGCTTAAAATTTTGGGCAAATTGAAAGCAGTGACATACGGTCTCAGGGAAATGACTTAGCAAATGCACAAAGATGAATACACAAAGATACTCATTGTTGCCAGGTGTGGTGCTGTGCGGTAGGATCACTGAGGCTCAGGCATGACAAGCCAGAGCTACAATAGTGAGACCCTAACTTAAAAAACAAGACAAAAAATTACATACTTATATTTATTCATAAAAACTATGGTCATATATATTATTTGTAAGTATAAAAAAAGAACATTATATAGCAGCAAGAACAGGATGTTGGCAATAATGATATTAAAAGTGTACACACACACAAAGCCTGAAAAGATGTAAACAATTACCAATGGCTATCTCTGTGTATGTGTGGCTTCTGATTTTTCTTATGTTTTTTTATACTGCCTAAATCTCCTACAATAAGCAGATAATCTTTTGTAATATCATATAATCTTATTTTCACCTAAAAAAGAGAACTACACTTCAGAGATACACTACAATTTGCTACTACTTCTGTAGAAATAGAGGAAAGACTATTTATTCTTTTAAAAATAAAACTATTCCTTGAAAGTTATACAGGAAATGGCTAGTGGTAAAGTTCATTTAAAAATACTAGAATAAAAATAGGTATGGTGGTATGCACCTGTAATCCCAGCACTCAGGAAGCTGAGGCAGGAAGATCATGCGTTTGAGGCCAGCCTAGGCTACAGAAGCTAGCCTAGGCTATATACTGAGACTGTTTCAAAACACAAAACAAAGCAAAGGAAAACAAAAAAGTACTCAAATAATTGAGGAGCAGGTTGTAAAAAGACTTTATTATAATATTTTGATGCTTTTTGAATTTCTTTCTTTTTTGGCTGAGCTAGGGATGGAACTCAGGGCCCCGTGCATGCTAGGCAAACACTCTACCACTGAGCCACACTCCAACCCTTGAATTTTTTTAATAACAGTTTTTCAGATATAATACTCATACCACAAAGTTCACCTGTTCAAAGTACACAATTCAGTGGCTTTCAACATACTATAAGCTGTACATCAATTACCACTAATTCTAGAACACTTTCATCAGCCCTTAGAGATACTCTGGCAACTCTCTTAAATTTTGAGCCATGTGGATGTATTACTTATTAAAAAAATTAAAAGAAAAATGCCTGCCAATGTTTATCAGCATTAAAAAGGAAAGAAAGAGGGCTGGGATGTAGCTCAGTGGTAGAGCGCTTACCTAGCATGTGTGAGACCCTGGGTTTGATCCCAAAACCAAAACAGAAAAGACCAAAAAAAAAAGCTGAGTACAATGGCTTAAACCTATAATCCTAGCTACTCAGAAATAGAGATGGGGAGGATCACGGTTTGACACCAAACCAGGCAAAACCTCGTAAGACTCCATCTCTAGCAACAACAAAGCTAGGCATAGTGGTTTGCACCTATCAACTTAGGTACACGGGAACCATAAACAAACATAAATAAATAAAATAAATAAAGATTATAGTCCATGCCAACCCAGGCATAAACATGAGACCCTATACCAAAAATAACCAAAGGACCAAAGGCTACGGGTATGGCTCAAGTGACAGAATGCTTGCCTACCCTGACATATGCTATAATGGATGAACCTTTTGGTTATTAAGCTAAGCAAAATGAGCTGACAATACCAGACAAAAATGACATGATCCCACTTAACCTAGACAAACGTACAGAGAGAAAGCAGACCAGGTATTGCAAAGGGCTGAGAGGAGTGAGCACTACTACTCAATGAGTGTAACATCAGTTATGCATGTTGTACAGACAGATGGTGTTGACAGGTTCACAACATCAATGTACTCAAAACCACTAAACTGTACACCTGAAAATGCCTAAGATGGTGAATTTTGTCATCAGTATTCTACCAGAAAAAAAAAAATTAAGGAAGAGGGAAGGTACCTCCCATAGAATTCTAATTATGGGTATTAAATAATTTACTTCATAATACTACTGAGAACCACGTATGTTGGTGCTCATTTTTCACTATTGCAAAAGGCGTTATTTGCATATTTCTCCAATTTTTTCTAAGAAAATACATAAATGATGACTGTTATCACCATCATTTATGATGACTATGATTTGCTGGACCAAAAGGTATGCACAATTACAATTTTAGGACATACAAATTATCTCCAAAAGAGTCTGTACAGGTTTAAACTTCCACCAAACAATGTCTAGGGGAGGCCATTTCCCCATATGCTTGACAACTATGGGTATTTTACATATTTTCAGCCCAATTTCTATTGTATCAATTAGTGCTGTGTATTCCTCCTTTTGTGACTACACTGTTCTAGTTCTTTGACTCTTGTTACTGGGACTTTTTTCTTAATGTATGTTAAGAATTCTTTCTATTAGGAAAATAATCTTTCACTTCCTGAACATGTTACAAATATTTTTCCAACCTGGTCATTTTTCTTTTAGGATCATTTATGATGACTTTTAAGTTGCTTTGAAGAGAGTTTTGGGGGTTTACATGTATGTTTTTTCATAATGTTGAATATTGAACCCAGTGTCTTGTACAACCTACAAAAGCACTGTACCATTGAGCTGCAACCCCAGTCCCTGTTTTTATTTAAATGCAAAGACATCTACACCCTTTCTTTATACTTTTGAGTGTTATTCTTTTAGCAAGCAGTGAACTTTTATTTCTGGTACTTTTCAAACTCTTGAAAGCACCACTTTTTCTATGATTTTGGTTTTTTTTTTCTTTTTTTTATAAATTTTGATGGTACTGGGATTTGAACACAGGGCTTCATACTTGGTAGGCAGACACTCTACCACTGGAGCCACACTTTAGTCCATTTTGCTGTGGTTATTTTGTAGATGGAGGGTTCTCAATCTATTTGCCCAGGCTGACCTGGAAATGTGATCCTCCTAATCTCAGCCTCCCAAGTAGCTATGAGTCACCAGCACCTGGCAGCACTGTTTTTTCTTACCAAGAAAAAACTTATAGTAAAATTATCAGGTATTTTAATTTACAAATATGATTTTTAAACCATTTAACTGCCAATATATCTTAAGATTTTTAACAGCAACTGTTAAGATTCAATAATAGATGTACCAAAATGCTGATTCTACCAGGCACAGTGGTGCATCCCTGTAATACCAGCACTCAGGTGGCGGAGGCAGGAAGATCACAAAAGTTCATAGTCAGTCTGAGCCACATGAGACCATGTCTTAAAAAAAATTAAAAGAAGAAAGAAAAAAAAAAGCTGATTCTCTGAAACCTATTTTCCTTTTTCACCCTTGATATTCAAAAACTCCAGGCATTGTTCAGTGAATTTATTCCCAAAGGAAAATATCAGAAAAATTCAAC